TGGTCTACCGAGCTCTCGGGCTCCCAAGCTTCTGGGTTGCCAGGCTCTCTGTCTCTTGGTCTATTGGGCACTTGGGCTCACTTGCTCCCTGGCTCCCAGGCTCCTAGGCTCTGTGGTTCTCTAGCTCTGTGGGTCCCTTGCTTTTGGGGTCTATGGCTCCCTTAGTATTGGGCTCTCAGGCTTTTGGGGTCTGTGGATGCCAGGTTCTTGGGTTGTCTGGCTCTCGGGCTCCTGTGCTCTCAGACTCCCCATCTCCCTGGATCTCTGGCTCCCAGTCTTCCGGTCTCTCAGGCTCTTTGGCTTCCAGGCTCCCATGCTCCCGGACTGTTGGGCTCTCAGGCTTCCTGGCTCTTGGGCTCCCCTGCTCCTTGGCTCTTGGCCTCCCTTGCTCCCTTGCTCCCTGGCTCCTGAGCTCCTGGGCTCTTGGGCTCACTTGCTCCCTGGCTCCTGGGCTTCTAGGCTCTGTGTCTCCCTAGCTCTGTGGCTCCCTACTCCTCATGTGTCTCTGGCTCCCTTGGTATTGGGGTCTCAGGCTTTTGGGGTCTGTGGGTGCTGGATTCTTGGGTTCTCTGGCTCTCTGGCTCCCAGTAACTCAGGCTGTTCCTTTCCCCAGCTCTGGCTCCCGGTTTTCTGGTTTCTTGGGCTCTTGGGCTCCCTTGCTGGCTGGTTCTCAGGCTCCCAGGCTCCCATAGTCCTGGACGGTTGGGCTCTTGGGCTCCATGGCTCCTGGGGTCTGTGGCTCCCAGGCTCTCTGGATCTCATGCTCCTGGTCTTCCTGGCTCCATGGCTCTCTGGTTCCCTGATTCTCAGGCTCTAGGCTCTCTGGGTCTCTGGCTCTCAGCCTCATGGCTCTCTGGCTCTCGAGCTCTCAGCCTCATAAGCTCTCAGGTTCCCAGGCTCTTGGACTGTCATGCTCTAATGCTCCCGGGCTCTATGGGTCTCAGTCTTCTGGGCTCTCTGTCCATCTGGCTCCTGGCTCCCAGCTCCCGGGCTAGTGAGCTATTTGGCTCCTGGCCTTCCTGGCTCTCGAGCTGACTGGCTACTGGTCTCTCAGGCCCTCAGGCTCTCTTGCTTTCTGGCTGCCAGACTCTCAGGGTCTCTGGTTCTCTTGCTCCCAGGCTTTATGGCTCCCGGGCTCTCTGACTCCCGGGCTCTCT